TTATGGACTACTGAACACTTTTAGATTATTTTGCTGAGTTAACACACCTATAATATTCAAATAATGGAACTTAACAAAAAAAGGGTATACAGATGAATGTCCATTTTGTATCTGTGTTTTCAAAGTGGTTAGGATAGATATATAGTTACATTCTCTTAATGAATAGAGTGATTTGTTCTAATTCTGTTTGTGTTTTGTTAATAGGCTATCATGTGTGCATGTTGTACAGCAATTAACCACTGGGAGGAATGTATGCATTGTGTTAATTATTGAAACTGTCCTACCAATTTGATTTGAAACTGTCTCAATTCTATTTGTTTATCAATAAAATTATGGAAATATATATATCTATATATATGCATATATATATATATTATGAACTTAGATAAAAGAGAATACAACACATTGTGGACTATGAAGGGGCTGCCATGGAGTAGGATAGCTTAGGATAGCAGAGACCTGGAAATATTTTAGAGAAATTTAAGCAAAGCCAAACTTAATATTTTGTCAGAAAGGCCGAGGTTTTTCAAATGACAAGCATGTTGACTCCAGTTGGTCATTTCTGGAAACTGTGCTCATATATGAAAAGAATTTTAAGAGGGCATAAAGACAAGAGAAATGACAACAGATGAGAAATGGGAGCAAATTTTTGAAGATAGAAAATAAGTGATGGGCACAGTAGCTGGAGGGCTGAGACTTAATTGCCTGTGGTGAATGTCAATTTATAAGGAATGCTGATTTAAAAAGTAAGCTGATTGCTCTACAGAGCATGTGAAAGAGTCAAAGATTAGAGAATCCAGATATCCCTCAGAGCTGGAAGGAATAAGCATGGTGGTACAAATGAGAACATTCCTTGCAAGTCCTCATTCCTTGAATGGCTGTAGGTCTCAATCCCTAGGCATTGCTGACAATTATTTTCCCCATTCGATTTCTGCACCAGTTAGGAGATCTACTCTCAGCAGATGACTGAATCAGGGAAGGTTAGAATTGTCACATTATGTGCATATTAGGGTGAGCTTGACAGGTTGTTATGAAAAACAAGAGGGTTTAATGAGAGTCCCCAAAGTTGTTATTGTGGCCCACATCTGCTCCCTCAGAAATGCAGCAATCTGATAGGAGTTTAGAGGATTCTTCTGAGGAAAAAATGTCTTGAAAATTGATCTGTTGGTACTGATATTTAGGGAAGACTAGAGATATAGATCTTCATCCCATCACCTTCCACAAAGTTCACTGTATTAGTTTCCTATGCCTGCTGCAACATATTGGTGCAAAGTAAGCAGGTTAACAGTGGAATTTTAATCTTTCATGGTTCTGGAGACTACAGGTCCAAAATCTGGCAAACCTGTGCTCCCTATGTGGGCTTAATGGGAGAATTTGCTCATTTTTCTCTTCTAGCTTCTGGGCACCTAACATTCCTTTGCTTGTAGCACATCACTCCAATCTCTTCTTTGGTCACAGCACTTCTTCCTGTCCTGTGTCTTTGAAGTCTTCCTTTCTGCCTCACTCTTATAAGCACACTTGTCATTGGATTTAGGACAATCCAGGTTGGTATACTCATCTGAATATTTATAATTTAATTATATTGCAAAGACCACTTTCCAAAGAAGGTAACATTCAGGGGTCCTGATGACTGGTCATGAACATTCTTTTCTGGGAGGAGAACCCACTAAACTCACTACTCCACAAGCTCCAACCATCTATACAAAGTTTTCATTAAGCTTTCTATATCTTGTTTTTAAATCTTATCATAAAACTAGTGGTTGTCAGCTCACTGAGGATAATATCTAATAGAAAAGGCACAAACAATAAAAAATTATGGAAAGGAACTTTAGAGAATGTGAACTAAGGAGAGAATAGAACACAACTTTTATAACTGTATTTGATATTCACAGAAGAGAAATAATGTAGCATATAAAATAATAGGTTGCTGTACATTTTGAAGTTAAGAAGAGCTGTTGGGAAATTATTGTAGAATGCAATTAATGTAAAAGTACTATAAAAGTGAATTGAAGTAAAAATGTAATAACAGAAAATAAAAGATACTAAATGGTCAAGGTGAAGTTATAGAAGAAAAAGGAATGGAGTTGATGCAACGTTTAAATATTGTAGAAGTTCTAGAAGGAGAACAGTAAAACAGGAAAGACTGTCCTGTTAAGTTAACGAAGAAACATGTGAGACATGTTTCCTGAACCAGAAGACTCAGATTGCCAAGTGAAGAGATCTGTTGAGACATGAGTAAGGAAGTTCTCTACAGCATTGTTTCTTGGCAGTAGGAAGTTGGAGGCAACCTGGGTACCCATAACAGGAATATGTAGATAGGTCCAATGCTGGATGCATACCATGGTGTATGTGTAGGAGTTGGGAGCAACAGATACCATGTACACACAAAACACAGGAAATTTTTAGAACTAGATTTAGTGAAAACAAAGAAACAATGTCATCCCATGTGATTTGCATAAATAAAAACACATGTGCACAGAACCCAAGTTTTGAACACTACATTTAAATATGAAGTATACATTGAATATAGTGTAATGATATTTTGCATGGTAGGTTGGCAGAAGGTGAATTTGTAGGTTAACCCTAAAATGCCCACTGATGTCAGGCATGGTGATGCCCTGGCAGGCTAAGGTAGAAGGAGCACAGGTTTGAGGTCAGCCTGGGCAACTTAGTGAGAGCTTGTCTCAAAATAAAAAGGGGCTGGAGATGTAGCTCAGTGCAAGAACCCTGGGTTCAACACATATGACCTTAGAAAAAAGAAAATATCCACAGAGTGCTCAGCACAGCTAGAGACCACACCAAAGCACATTGTCATAAATTTTAGAACCCCAGAGTTGAGAGTAGTCAGAAAGCTTCTAGCATTTCGGAAGGCAGCCTAGGTACCAATAGTCAGGATGCCATTGGACTTCTCAACGATAATACTGAAAGTTAGAAACCCATGTAGAACCTAAAACCTCTATAAGAAAAAAATTTCATGATCAAATTATATGCTCAGCCAAAGTACCAATTATTCGTGGGGATGGAATAGCAATATTTTCAGATACCCTTTCTAAAAAGTTGCTGGAGAACATAAGTCACTAAAAATAAAGAGTTAAGAAAGATGTGATATTCAGAGAAATGTGAGATTCAATAAAGAAGGCAGA